GGAGGAGGCGGCGGGTGGCGTCTCCTAGGGGCCAGGCCAGGAAGGATCCCAGATGGAGGAAGAGAACAGATCCCAGGAAGAGACAAACTTCTGCAGTGAAGGGGGGGGGAGGGTAGTAGATACGAGCGGGAGGACTTGGGAGATCCCCCCCGCGCTCCTGGGGCACCAGACAGACCTCGTCACAAAACAGGCCAGGAACACGGTGGAAACCACAAAGACTCCAGGGAGGCCTGAGGGTACGAGAGAGGAATCTCGAGGCCGAGCGTGCTGGGGGTCACGCACAGCGCCCTACTAGGTGAACTGGTTTCCCGTGTTTCAGCTCCTCTGGGCCCCATCCCTACAGCTGTGCAGTCGCAGGAATCAGGAAGCCACGAGGACAGAAAGCCCCTATCCTCTCTACCTTATCCTACCTCTCTCGCAGAGCCCTCTGTGACAGTGGAGGGGGGCCGTCGATGGCAGCCCCACTGAGGCTGACGTGGGACCGTGGAGATCGGCTGTATTCTACTTCAGTTCTCCCCCAACTACCACCACCCTTGCAGCAACCTCTGGGGCAACAGGAAGCAGCTGCTCAGTGTAGCCCCCACCTGGTGGTAGGTCAGGGTGGGGGAGGAGAAAAGACAGACTTAAAAGGCCAGAGAGAAATTAGGGCGAAGGAAGGCGTCTTAAAGACCCTCCATCGCGGCCAAAAGTGGGCTTTCCTTGTGTAGGGGCTAGCAGTCAGTACTGGTGAATACTAATGCTTGAATCTCACCAGCTTAAGTGGGAGGACGAGGGTTAAAACTCCACGGTGGGGGAGGGAGGGAGTCTTGGCCTAAGGTATAGTCTCAGCTCTCCTTGGAGCTGGAGCTTGCCGGTGCTCAGGGTCCCAGGGTCTGCAGCCTCACAGGCTGAGCGCTGTCTTCCCACCACCCCGGTACTGTTTCCCCTCCTTTACCCCCGGATGAGCAAAGGTTAGGCCCCACCCCTGCTGAGTCAGCCAGGGAGAGAACTAGGCATCCCTCAGGCCTTCCCCGGGGCTGGTCCCCATACTCACCCATGTCTGGCTGGCGGAGCTCCAGGCTGGGACCACCCAGCTCCTCACTGTCCTTGGATCCCCCTTCACGTCAAGGCAGTTGTTAAGTCCTCCCAAACTGTGAGCCGGGAACTAGCAAGAATCAAAAAGCCAATGTATGCTTCCTGCGAACCACACAGCCTGAACTGCTGTAGGGTGATGTCCCTGTGTGACAGACTGGGGTGGGGAGGGAGGAGGGAAGGGCGGGGCTTTCTCTGGGTGGAGAGAGGGAGGCGGCGAGGACAGGGCAGACCAGGAGGAATATGGAGGAAGGTTAGAACTGTGTTGACACTCCAGTGGCGTGGTAGAAGAGGGCGGTAGAGGGAGAAGGAAATAAATGCGGCTAAGGAGGAGAAGGTTCTAGATAAATGCTGAAGGACATGAAAGTGTT